TTGGGTGTTGAGAAAGTGGGTGAAGTAAATGAATTGGTAGAGCTGGAAGCTGAAAAATACGACGATCTGATCGTTTTTGATATGATTGACACTTACAATAACATGACGCTGAAGTCATTAAATATTTTAAGTTGGATTGTTCAGAACTGCCAAGCGCCCCGATTTTTTATGCAGGTAAATTTTGCAATGCTTTTTCTTACTTATTTTAAATCGTTTGAAGGAATCGTCAATGGCTTTTAGTGACATAGCTGCAACTTGTGTTTCCGGTTCAGGGTATGAAACTCAGGTCTGGAATGAGAATACTGTATAAATTGCACTTCAGGGTGATCCAGATATAGTGGCATTTCCGGATGAAATTGCTTTGTACACCTCGAAGCTGGACGCCAATCTGATAGCCGTGTATGGAAAATGTTGGAAAGGTGCAAAAGCACACCGCGAAGATAGTAGTAAATGGTATATTTTAGCTGAGCTAAATTTATTGTCTTGGTGTTTAAAAGCGTTCTCAAATAATATTGATCGGAGAAATGCATTTAATGTTTAGAGAACTTGAATCGATTTTGAAAAAAATGCTGGTACTTCGCTGAAATGATTCGATTTTAGGCACTTATTTGGCTTTTAAAGTAATTGGACTAAAATTAATTGCCAATTTAGGGCTTTAAATTCACTGATTTATGCATCAGTGACTTATCCGACCTATTTGGCCGGTGGTGCATGGTTATTCTCTCCTGCTACCGCGAAACGTCTCCTGATGGCTCTCGAAAAGCCCCTATCCTATGTCCATATCGATGACATGCTGATTTCGGGGATATTCGCAGAACTTATGGATGTACGCCGAGTATGTTTAAAAACTGTTGGCTATTTGTATGAATTCTCACTGAAAAAATGCCGTGATGATCATATTCTTGCTGTTTTGCAACTCGAAGATCATGAAATTTTGAACACAATTCTGGACTATCGAGAAGCCTCAATAGAATGCTATGCCGCTCGTTCTTCATAAAAATAAACTAACTCTGAGCTGCATACTTTAAATTAGGTAGTTTATGAATATAGACAAAATGGAAAGTCCTACACTCTTTAACCATTCCGTTTACTTCTAATGATTCTATTTAAAATGCATCTTAGTTAATTAATTCTTCCTTTTAATTTGAAACTCCATTGAGTTAATATTATTCGAGTCAATCTTATTTTCCAGAGTATTCTGTAATCTGTTGCTAGAGGATGAAATCATCTTGTTTGACCTAAATATAACTGTATTTTTGAATTCATTCAATTGCCTAGCTATTACTTGCTATGAAGAGTTCACATTCTAATGGTCGCTTCATTATAATTAGTCACTTCATTATAATTAATAATAATAATAATAATAATAATAATAATAATAATAATAATAATAATAATAATAATAATAATAATAATAATAATAATAATAATAATAATAAT